AAAGGGCAATTTTTGTTCACTATAGAATGTCAAGTGAGTACATGTACATGAATGTTACTTACAGAGCTGAGTTTTGAGGACAGACACCCACAGACAAGCTAAAAGGGGAACTATTGGTGGAGTGAGTATTGGAGGCCTGTGGAATATTGAGATGCTAGCACAGCAAAGGACTCCAGATATCACTGATGATGGAACTGATGTCCTGCAGAAAAATCCTGTGCCAGACATCCAAGGCCTTTCAGACTCGGCAAGGATTGTGGTACTCAATACTTATGATGAGGTGCTACCGATCGGTAAAATGCTGAATTATCAAAAATTTCCTGCAATCTCCCCAAAGAACCATGCGCCTTGTGTTCATGGAGTCCAGCACTAAGATCCTCACCGATGTACCCAATGCAGACCTTTCTGTATTCACAGGTGTTACATCAGGTTAGGTCTCAGAGTCTTACTCATCCTTGTAGGCTATTGCAGATCATGTTAGGCATGGAAAACCTAGATGCCAGTGTCATTCAGGAAGGACTAAATGCAATAAGAGCTGCCTATGAAGGGAAGTGTAATGGACCAGATGAACCTGATGGGTAGACCTTGAGTATACGAAACACTTCAGTCAGTGAAAGACTTCAGATCAAGTGTCTCAACTTGATGTACCCCAAATCGGTTGTGTTGGATTGTTGCCTTGACATAGCAAAGTTGTCGCAGGAGAGGATCGTGGTCAACGATGAAGGATTGCCAGACAAGGGTGCCAATGACTGATGAATAGATCCCAGGGCACTGGACAGATTGATTGTGGAGATGCCTATCAATGTGTGGCTCTCTGATAGACAAAAGGGCTGAGAATACTGCCAGACTGCCTGGAGGCCTCAATATCCAGGAAGAAGATTCGATCCAAGGTGAGCCAGATGCTGCTGTGTGTGAACCAGCTGAAGTGTCTCAGGAACTGCTGGAGGTACTGTGCTGTGTGATAAAATGATGAAAGTGTCATCCACAAACTGAAGATAACTGTTGCTCTCAAATCCACGAAAGCTGTACAGAACTATATGATGATATTGGCCAGAACTGGAGATGGGGTTAATCCTGTGGAAGTTCCAGCTGACTGCTTGAAGAATTGACCTGTCCACTGGATGAAGGACGGCAGGATGTAGATGGGTAGGAGATCACAAACCTAATCCAGAGAGAGGGTTTCACACTCACACAGCTTGTCTTCATGAAGGTTTCCTGACCGAGACCTTGAGACATGCCTCACCCATGGGATTGGTGATGAATACCTGGAGTCTCCACTGAAGCTGCACATGGCTTTGTTGGGATCACAAGTAAAGGTGTTCGCCGCAGCAGCAGCAGCAGCAGCAGCAGCAGCGCAGTGCAGCGCAGCGCAGTGCAGCAGCAGCAGCATGATGATGATGGTGATGGTGGTGGTGAGGGTGAGGGGGGTGGTGGCGGCCGCCAGTGGGGGTGATGGGGATGGTGAGGGTGATGATCCCAATGACACCATGAGCGCAACCTCACAGTGTTCCCAACGACACCATGGTCAACCCCGATGAAGGCTACCAGATATTCACTGCCATCCCCACAGGCTACTCATGCCTCGGTGCCAAGGGGGACTCCGACTTGACTACGCCCTGCAGAAATATGAAGCCCCACACTCCAAACCAGGTTCATGATCTGCGACCCACCTACATCCTGCTGTCTTTCTTCCAATGAACAGCCAGTTGTCCAAGCAGCCTTCTGGAACTTCCACAGGATCAACTCTATCCCCAGTTTTAGTCAATGCCTTCATATAGGAGTACTGCCTTCGTAGATCTGAGACCAAGAGTTTGTCTTCAGTACATGGATGAGACTCTCATCACTTCATCATACAGCATGGGACCTCCAGCAGGTCCTGAAAGACTTCAACTGGATTTACAGCAGCATCTGGCGCAGTGAGGATCAGGCGCCTTGAATCTCATCCCCGGATGCTAAGGTCTGAAAACAGTCTGACAACACCCTCGACCCCTGAGTCTATTAGAGATGACCGACAGACACTGACTGGCAACATCGACAACCAATCCTTCCTGCACCCGGAAATCCAAACACCGGTCAAAGAGCAACCTTGTCCAGGAAGCCTGCATCGGCAACCACAATCCTGGCCGGCAACAACTTTACCATATCAAGACAGCACTACAACACAACAGATTCAAGGCTCATCCAGTCAAGACGCAAGATCCAAAGTCTTTCACCTACCAAAGGGTCCCCTACACCCAAGGTCGAACCCACAAGGCTCACCCCGCCTATTACACAGCCCAACACAGGCAGTTCTCATCACATCCAGTACTTCCTAAATGACAAAGGTATCCGGGCTTTCCACACCCACAAGATCCACAATAGCCCACAGGACAAGCAAGCCTCCAAGACCGAACCTGATGCATCCCCTGCGAATGCAGAAGGTGTACACTGGGTACACCAGCAAGAGAACTCAACGCCAGACAGCACAAACACAGAGCACATGGCAGATGGGGAGAATTACAGGAAATCAGTGAACACCCAGCACTCACCAAAAGGGACACCATCATCATGAGTATCAAGCAGCTACATCCATGCTCTGTCCGTCTAGCAATGAAGGTCAGCAAACAGACGATAGCTCTGCAAAACTTCAGCATCACCATCAGAGACATCTGTTACCCTCTACATGTACGTAGTAGCTCAAACATCCACAGACCTCCAATTGCCTTCCTCCTCCAATTTCTTAGACCTCCTCCTCCAATGTCTTCTAAGGATGTGACGTTTCATTTTGTAAATGTTTAGCAAACATTTAAAGAACCATCTCAATGTTGAGCCCTTTCACAAAGACTGACGACTGCCCATTGTGCAGACCAACATGATCGACACAATAAATAATAAATGAGTAACATAATAAAAAGAGGGCTGTCATTGAAATCAATAAAAAGATGAGCACGTAGACTGAAAGTAATCTAGTACTGCAGTTCTCCTTAGCTTTCAGCAAATTGAATAGGTTTGAAAACATTGCTAATTATTTTTTGCTATGCATGCTCAACTCAAAGGAAGATAGTGGAAAATAGGTTCCTGTTTTTAAAATTTGAATTTTGTTGAAAGTTTTGGAAAAATAAGATTTTGAATTTTGTTTATTGTTTTAAATGTTTAAATGTGTAAATGTCACATCCATAATTTCCTCACTCCACCAATACATAGTTCCCCTTTTGCCTGTGGATTTCAGTTTAATGTTGACACTCAGCCTGCAGAGGATAAAATTACTTGTTGATATCAGATTTTATATATTTATTGAATTTGTTAAAAGCACAATTAAACTAATGTGCACAGTTTAACTGGCTATATTTAATTTATAATACATCTTTTGTCAAAGTGGATTTTTGTTAATTTTCACTTACTGCTTCTAATTGTTTCAGCTTCTTTTCAAAACATTCAATGTACCCACTGACACCCTATAGTGAACATAATTAAACAGAACAACTGCCAATGCATCAACCTTACGCTAGAATCATTCGTGGGTTTATCTCCATCCTAAATGCTGGAGATGTTTATCATGAATTTCTTCCGGCATGTACACTCCCAGGAAGTTCTTATTAAAAAGGGGCCTATGGGTCATTCTTTAATATCAAGTGTCTACTTTCATGTCCCGACACTTTAAGGCACTATAAATCAAAAAAAAATATAGAATGAAAATTAGATTTTTAAGCAGTAAAATTACTTAAACACGACTCCTATTACATGTATGTGCAGTGTTAAGAACTCCTTAAAATAATGGACAAAATGATCATTCTTGACAATACTCCCTCAAAACCCACTCAAAGTGCATGTCCCAGTGTATTTCTCAATATGTACCTACTGCCATAATTTGTAAAGTAAACAACTTGCAAAGGTAATTATACCTCCAAAAGCCAAGTAATATAATAATCGTCATTTCCGTCACAAAAGGTGTGACGGATATGACTTTTGCATTTTTTTCACAATCAATATTTCTTTGGGCCCTATTGAAAATAAAGGAACCCAGCATTATTTCCTGTAAACCCAACTTCACATCACCACTCCAATACCATAGAGACTAAAATAACAGAGAGAGATATGTTGCAAGGATGAATGAAGTCCCTGAAAGCCATCAGCCCTGTTTTTGTATGGTACATGATAATTGTCAATTATCAGATTGATCTTCGATCAGGTCAATTAAATATGTTGAACACTTTCAAGTGCTTCAACATGGGGGGGGGGGGAATGCACATATTATGACATACGTGAGTAACCACTACCAGCTTGTCACTTCCTTAACATGCTCAACATCCAACATGTTTATTACGATTATGTGAAAATTTTAGATCTGCGGTTTATGCAAAAGATTGGGGCGATTGCAAACCCCGCGCTTTGTAAATGGACATCGCCATGATCGCAACCTTGGTAATGGTATACGATTCTTTCCCTGCTAAATACTCACGACCGGACCAAGAACTTCTTGCAGTTTTTCAGGTTTTAAGAAAATCGAGTTGACGACGGACACACTGAAACCACCTCACAAGTAGAGATGCAACACATACCACGACAACGAATCTGGAGAAAGTTGCATGACCCAACATGGCAACGACATCATAGGGCAAGGGACACACCAACTTTTGCGAGACGGGCATTGTTACATTTTCGTGCAGCGCACGCAGACAACAAACCACCACGTGTGAATATTATCCATTCATTGCACCTGTCATTGTCACAAAACACCACCACCTGTGCGCGCCATCACGTGGGCGTACGTCATACCAAGGGCATACCTTGGGATTTTTTATAAACATTGGTTTCGTTTGAAACGCAGCTTTCACTTCCCCTGCGATGTTATTTTGTCAATTTTTGTATAAACTGGTAACGGTCTTTGTTCTGCATTGAAAACATCGATTGTCAACAGTTCTAATGTTACAGTTGTTATGCTTGCATTAGACTGTTTAATTAGTTGTTGAAATGATTACGTAGACAGTCATGACTCTGAGCCGAAGCTAGTCCGAAATTTCAGAAACGCCACTCTCAAAAGATTTTTTTAGAGGGCGCTGTACCGGCGGCAGATCCGAGTATCAAGATGGCGTCCCTTGTCACCGATGTTCTGCTCGCAAACACGGGTAAAACTCAGCTGTTTTCCAATAAAACTAACCTTTCAGACAAAGGTTCTCTCAATACAGTTCCAGGGATTGGAGCAACTATAGAATGCAGGGCCACGCCGAAGCAAGGTTTTTTATTTTGCCTGGAGGCGTGGATGGAATAGGAGTAATTGATATGCAAACCTGCAAAAAGTGCTAAGTACAGCGAAGGAATGCACTGCACTTGTCTTCTAAGCTTCTCATGAAGGATCGGAAGGGAGGGCGTGCTTGTAAATGTGTTGGGGGCACTGTCTGGAGCGGCGGAGGCGCGGAGTCTTGGAGTCGCAGAATCGCGGAGACGCGGGGCACTGGAGTGGCCGCAGTGGCGGCCGCGGAGGCGTGGAGTTGCGGAGTCGCAGAGACTCGCGCCGATAGAGGGCGCAATTTTCGGCGCAATTTTTTTGAGAACGAAGCATCCATATCCATTTTAATGGGCGCGCAAATTAGGAAGGGAGGAGGGCGACGGGGCACTGTCTGGAGCGGCGGAGGCGCGGAGTCTTGGAGTCGCAGAATCGCTTTAAATGGGCGCGCAAATTAGGAAGGGAGGAGGGCGACGGGGCACTGTCTGGAGCGGCGGAGGCGCGGAGTCTTGGAGTCGCAGAATCGCGGAGACGCGGGGCACTATACACTGGAGTGGCGCGGAGTCGCGGAGTCGCAGAGACGCGCACCGATAGAGGGCGCAATTCTCTGCGGCTCCACGACTCCACGATCGATTTTCGGAGGTAGGTCGACTGCGGTTCCACGCCTCCACGCAGCCGTACGGAGGCGCGGATGTAGAGTAAAGTGGCCCTGCATTCTATAGTTGTACCCAGGGATTATTGTAGGAAAAATAAAAACTTAGTGCATTTAATTCCTATGTAGGCCGAGTATTTGAAACGCTTTTTGGTTGGTAAATATTCGATCATTATTGTTGCATCGGTTACGTGATAAAAAGTATGAGAACGGGTGTCGGTCACTTCGCCCGGTAATCCTTAGTATTAGGACCCTGTTCCTACGTAAGAAGGGAAAGACTTACCAAAACAGTTGACTAAATCATGACACTCAAAATTGACATTCTGATATTTCTTGACCCATTGGAACAATTGGCAATGACCAATGACGTCATTAGCCCCATAAATGTGACACTACAGTAAATACTGGACAAGGCCATGAAGGCCTACCTCCGTCACGTATGTTTCAGCCCCATAGACCGTGCGTGCATTTAGTTCATCTTCTCACGCATGCGCAATGGTTTTGTCCGCGTCGTCGGCTTGCAAACAGCGGTAGCAGACGACGCACTGAGCGATTGTCTGTTTTTCATGTCTTAAAATGTATCCTTCTCAAACGTACTTAAAAGATGATTCAAACCAAAAGTTGTCAGTAGACCAAGTGAACAAAGATATAAATTGTCTCTACAGTGTGGTAACGGCGCTAAATACCTTTTCAAAAATATTTTAAAAAACACTAATTATGGACAAAAAACGTACAAAATGAAGAGGAAAATCATCGTTTGCTTTTGAGTTTGGTTTACACATTTGGACAATTTGCCGGGTTTACCTAGATCAGCCATAGTACCATCGAAAAGGATGATAGATTATTTTCATTTTACAGGTGATTTGATGTAAGAAGGAAACCTGTAGCTTATAAAAATCGTCATTTTTCGAGTAAACCCATTTTGAAAGCTTCGTGCACAAATACACTGGTCCCAGTGCCCTCTATGATCGTACTTAACTGCATTTCTGGGCCGGGAACCAGTCAGTTGTAAATCGTTTCAGTTAAATGCATACATTTCCAACGCGTCGAAAGATTACAAACGGAGCGACGTGGCGCGTGGCTAGCCATGTTAACGGGCCAAATTCCAGGGTCTGTGTACAGGTACGTGCACACTTACGTTACATTCAATGAAAAAAAAACGTATAACGTGAGACCTTTAATACTTCTCTCATTAAAACAGTTTCCGACTTAAATGATATTTATACATCGCACTTTCCGTGGCATCCTTTACCATTTTTCAGTGAAGACAAGTTTACAATTACTCGGCAAAACTGAAAAATTATCCCCTAAACTGTCGCCTGTTTTGAATTTGTGACCCAATACTTTCCTACTACACGACACGGAAAAACAAAAAAATTGCAACAAAAACTCTCTGTTTTTTAGCGCTAAGGTTTGCAAAAGTGACTTTGATTGCCTTAAATTCCTGTCCACGTGGAAAGAAAAATTTATCAAAGTACTTCGAGTGTGATGTTGACCGATACTTCAGTGGTTCAAACTGTGACTGCAGGCATCCATGTTTGCTGATTATCAGTATTTCATATTTTGAGTGCGCATACGCGCAAACTAAATGAGCGGCTGAAACATTCGTGCCGTATTAACCGTCACAAGTCCACAAGCTTATTGATTGGGTTTTTATATCCCAGAGTTTAAAAGTGCTACAGACAAAACTTCATTCGAAAATTGGGTTTTGGTGTTTTTTACTCACCCAATATTTTGTAATTCTTTGCCCAGATCTGTTGGAAAAGGAAGACCTGGGGACGCGCATCGGCAAATTATCAACTCACATTGATGAGATCAAGGGTGAAATCTACCATGCCGTACACGAGAAGTATGCCAACTACAGACCCACCAGGGACTCCACCCAGGAGCTGCACAACAAGGTGCAGACACTGTCCACTGAGATGCAGACTCTCAGCAATAAGATCAAGGTATGTCATAGTCTTAAGGCTCCAGTAACACATTCACGGTTGGACCTACGAATATCCAAGGTTTACCAAGAATCAATTGATCACAATGAACCGTCAAGACTCGTGGAGAAATTGACTTTCTAAGAATGCACTAGGGTTTCAGGACAGATAGCTGTCGGAGGTTTCTCTACGAATACACCACAGTTTTTTGAACGGATTGTTTATGAATATTGACAGTATTACCAAGAATAATGATATTAATGCCACAGTTGTCTGCGATTGGGCCACGAATGACCAAGGTTCTCCTACAAATAAAGCATAGTCATATTCGTAGTACAACCTTAGCAGAATTCTAGCATATCTGGGCATAACCGTAGGACATTTGTGGTGAATTCGTAGAGATTTCTGCCACGAATGAGCTACAAATCTCCAAGAGTATGTACAAATAGCTACAAATAACACTATGAATTAGTACAGTTGTTCTATGGATGTCCCAGGGTTTCACTGCGCATTGACTTTCATGATGATTCTCCACGGACGTTAGGAACAGTTTAAAAGTTCCGTAGCGCCTCCACGAATACCAAAGGAAGATGAGGGATAACCACGCAGATATTTAGGATGAATACAGTACTCCCACGGTTATCACAATTCTAAACTGTGGATAGCTGTAGCTGCAAACAGTGAATGTATGACTGAGGCTTAAGGGCTAGACATTGTTATGGTTTGATATGCAATAACCTGCTGCAGTGATAAACCCACACCCACTGACTAACCAATATCACCCACGAACCCGTCGGAACAACGTATAGGCCAATTCCTACTGGTTGTGTAATGTGCACGTACCTTTGGCGTAATATATGCAGCGCGCATTAAAAAAAAATTCATAGTAGTTCCCAAGAAAACTTTCAAATGTCTTCAAGTAACGTAAAAGATGCAGCAAGATGTTTTTGCAACTTCACTGGTCAGCACTTTTGTTGTGTGTAGTTTGTGTGGGACTGAAAATGAACAGTAATTGCCTGCGGAAGTAGCGCATGCGCACTTCCCCCAATTTTTTTTTTTTGGGGGGGGGGGAAGAGATTTTAGGAGTTGGCCTTGACGTTCCGATGGTGGGGGATATTGGTTGGTTTTGATAGCGACCTCTTGCGACCTCTTGCGACGGCGGGTTATCGCTGCAGCAGGTAATTGCGTATCCGACCATAACATCGTCTAGCCCCTAGACTACGTATGTGAGGCTGTGTCTGATGAGACAGGCATTGTTGTCTGTGGCAATGGCTTTTGACTTAATGCACCATTGGTAAATACCTAGCCTATTCTATGGCCACGCACTGGAGTAAACTCCTTGCTAAGGGCCATACAAATGTGAGCACAAAAATTGGTAAAATGATGGTATTTTTTCATGGAAATATTTCGGCCTGATACTTGGCGTGGGGGTTCTTTTACCCAAGAATCCCTTTTTTCACTAAAACTAGGACTTTTTAATGGTTCCTTCATGTGAAATTTGTCTCTTTATTTGCTGACAGAAGTTGAAGGAATGCACAAAATTTGACAAATACAAATTAAAGAGTGCTAAATTAAGAAAACATTTTTACCAAAAGAAACCATTGGAAAGTCCTCAGTTTGGTAAAAAAAAAAAAGCAGGACGCTTCACAGACTATGTGTGTGTGTACAAAAAGCAAAAGGGATTAACGTGTTTAGACGTCACCCGAAGGCAAGTTGTGGCAATTTTGACATCTTAATCTATCAGCCCTGCCTGTGTATAAAACAGCCAGTGGGTGTTATCACGTCATCCGACACGAGCTGGTTAAGATGTTACTTTTTATTGTCAAAAGAAGTCAATTTGGTATCTTTTTTTTTTTTTTGCATTCAGGGAGACATCAGTTCCCAGCTCAACAGCTCCACAAGTGATCTTCATGACCTCACCAGACAGTTGGAGAAGACTAACGCTATCATTGATGTGCTACAGTCACTATGCAAGGTAATGATCAACCCTGTATGACAAGACAGGTGATTGTGTTCTTGGGCAAGACACTTTACCGCAGTTGTCTCTCTCCAGGTGTACAAATAGTTACCTGTGAGGGTTGAGACCATATGTGATGCGATCAAGCTAAATGAGTCGTTTGTCGGGAACTTTCAATTGGAGATTCAGGCCAAAATAGGGCCACTTCATCACATCACTTCATCACCTCTCTTGGTGTTCCGACTTCCATAAGTTTTGAACTAAATGTGGTACCAGCATGCGGTTTTCACAGCAGTAATGCTGAGATTGTGCTCTTTTCAAATCTGTAAAAAAAAATCATTTATTTTGCTCTATATTTAGTGAGGCACCATTTGCAGACAGTGTTGTAATTTTGTAATTGTGCATCTGGAAGCCAGACTGAGGGAGCAAAGGCCGTGTATCTGAGACCTGTAAACGCTTTTTAATTAGCGCAATGTGTAAGGGACCAGACTAATGACCAGCCTGCCAGCTCAATGCCAATGTCGCAGTATGGTCTGACGTTACCATTTTCTCTGATTTTTGTTTTGACTGTCCAAATTTCCCAAAGAATGTTCGTGTCGGTCGAGATTGTAAGTGGTTGCAGAATTTTCAAGCCTTGTGGCCTTACATAGGTCACCTCAAGCTCCACTGTGAAAGACATTTTTGAGAGTTTAAGGGTGATCACAGCATCATCTGCAACATCAGCCGACATTTTAAGAAAGAAAAAAAGTTGGGAGGGAAAAAAAATGTGTCGCCGCACCACTTTTGAGGCAAGCTCCATACCAGAAACCGGAGCCTTTCTTTTGGCCTTAGGTTGCAGAAGTCATTTGGAAATAACCAAAATACTCTTGACTCTAAGGCCCGTTCTGGACGCCGTTCTACTTCGGCATCGAACTTTATTTAAATGATTGCAGCACTAGCTCGTCTACAGCACGGCAGTAACTCTAAATGCCAAACCTAATAGTTGAACCTGAATGAACCTGGAGTAACTGGCCAGGTTAAAGCACTTCAAAGAACATTCAAACTGTTTTCGCCAATTTCACCCAATATGAGCGGACAGGAGAGAGGGTATTGTGAGCGTGTGCATTCCTAAAATGTTTGCCCCAACTTACAGGTCAATTGAGGTGTTGCATGGCAATGGCTCTGCGTTTAGAACAGTGCCGTGCAGCTGCCACACGGAATGACAATATCGCAGCAGCCCTTTTGAGCCAATAGGATAGTGACGTGCCGAAGTCAATTTGCCGAACCAAATGGTTCTAAACGCCGTGTTATAGCCGGGCGAAATTTAAAGATGTCAAATTACTTGAGTTCAGCACGGCAATGGCACTGTGTCTAGAACGGGCCTTACTTGACCTAAACACAACACAATCGCCGTTATAAGCACCTTTTTATCTTGCGATTCCATGTTGTAGACTCAATTTAGAGGATGAAATTATGGTCAGACATAAAAAATCATTATTAACAAGTCCGTTTGTTCATCTTAATTTCATTCACCCTCCTCATTTCAAGAAACCACGCTTTTCTGACAATTAATGATTTGTCCGTCCGTTTTAACTGACAGGTTAACGATTTACTGACAGATTTTCAGAGTTTTGTCCAGAACGGTGAGTTCCTGCAAGCAGCCAATGCCGTCAATGAATTGGTGAGAGACAAATAAAAATAACTGTCCAATCAAATTAAGATGAGACTTGGTTTCTATTTTCCAAATTCAGTTTGTTTGAAAAGGAATGCAAAGTTCTTTTCTGTAAGAAGTTTACTTTGAAATTACAAATTTCAGGTTGTTGTTGTAATTGTTGAATCCACTGTAATCATGTTGTACTTTGCATATGTACAGTGGAATCTTGACAAGTCAAACTCCGATAACTCAAAACAACTTTTAAGTCAAACAAAGAGTCCATCGCCTACCGTAGTATAACAATGATATACAACCCTGCTTAACTCAAAATTCTGCTTAAGTCAAGTTTTGAACCTGTTCCCTTGAGGTTTGACTTATCGAGATTTCACTGGAGTTCAATTCTTTTTTTCCTGTAGAAATCTGATTTGGACGTTCTCATTGAAGACGGATACTGTGAGCTGAAAATTGTCAAGGCTCTAAGGGTAAGGAGCTTATCCGTTGTCTGTTTACTTGCAGCAGGCCAGTGAGGATGCAGAAAGTGAATTGACCTATCTTGTTAGAATTGCATTAACATCGCGTCAACACTGCTTGTGAAATATTGTCCAATTACAGATATACGAATAGACACGGAATGCGCAAAATCTGAGACAAACAAAACGTAGTGTACAAATATTCCATAGGGTTGTCTAAAGGGGCGTGGCTAACTCGCAAACGGCGATACGTCAGTTGGGGTGACGTTGTTGAATTTTGCCAGCCAGAGAGAGACATTGCTGATAAGAGTTTTTTTCACCATTTTAGTCTGAGCTGCGAGTGAACCAAGAGACGCTGCTGCATCATCTAGGAGAGGCCTGGTCTGCCATGACTGTCTGGACCATACCCCGTGCCAAAGAACCTGTCACCCTGACCAACGTCAGCCAAGTCCAACTCAAAGTCGGTAGGTCAGCAAGTCGTGGGATGCTATTGCATGTGGGCTGAAGTATCATTATCAGGATCTGCGGGTAATTCTGCAGGTTATGGGTTCAAGTCCAGCCTGTGGCTGTGGTGTGTGTGTTGTGCACATGACATTTTGACACTCAATGCTTCTCCCTACCCAGAAGTAAATTTTGTTATTTTTTTTTTTCACCAGTTAACATTGAAAATGCTGCGGTGACTGTCAATGCCATGAAGCAGGTCGGAATTCTGAAGAGCAAAATGCAAGTTTTCGGTGAGTTTCTTAAATGTTTGTCCTCTCTTTGTGACTGTTTTTCAAAACCGAGCTTTGATAAACCAAAAATACATTGACAGAACGAATATGAATTTTGAATTCACATTCAAAACTGACTTTGCTCATTGTATCTTTTCAGTCCTTTGAAATCAGTTGCAAATTGACTTATTTGAACAAAATTATTGTCAATTTTCCATTTTCAGGAAAGAAACTGATGGAGTATATTCTGAAGCCGGTTGTGACGTTGTCAAATGTTGCGCCATCAATTAACGCGGCTAAAAAGGTAATGTTATTTTCAATTAAGTCTTAAGCTACAGGTGCATTTTTTTTTTTTTTCATAAGAACAAGAAGACATGAGTATTATACAAATTATACAAGTTTATAAGCACACAGAGTTTATAGGCACAGAAAATCAGCCCATTACGCTGTTGGGTGTGGGTTTCTCAGTCGGGTTTTGCCAGCAGCTACGTGGAGTGCTGTGGCCTCGTGGTTAAGGGCATTGGATTCGTGGTCTGCGGGTAAAGCTGCAGGTTGTGGGTTGGAGTCCAGCCTGGGGAAATGGTGCGTGTGCCCTTGGGCAAGGCACTTTGTCACTCATTGCTTCTCTCCACCCAGGAGTAAATGGGTACCAGTGAGGGCAGAGATGGTTACTGTGATTGAGCTAGCTTCCTCTGCTTAACAGGCTGCATCGAGCTGTATACTCCCCAGGGAGCTGAGATGATATTGGAATATTTCATTGGCCCAATGAGCAGGGGTAATAATGATGTAGCGCCTTGAGCACCAGACCTGGTGGATCAGGCGCTTTATAAATACCCACTATTATTATTTTGATTATTGGAAAATTGTGCTAACTTAGTATACAACGCCTCATTGAATAGATTTGCTGATGCTTCCTATTGTTGCATTACAATTTAAAGGGAATGTACATCATTTGCTTTTGCTGTAATTTTCAGAAATGGATGGAATAAATAAGGGGTTGGAAATATAAAGCAAATATAGTTACACTGACTTTTATGAGGTTTTGGGTTCGAAAATGCTATAAAAACCAAGAAAAACAATCATTTTCCTGAAGTCTGGTTCCCTGACTCCATATAAGAAGAAACAGAGCAGTTTACATACATTGGGGAATTGTAAAGTCAGGGAACCAGTCTAGCTGGCTCGAACCCGTTCATAGGTTTGTAATCGATTGCCAACAAGTGCGATGGTCAATTGGGGCCATTTTTTTTCCAACGCTGATCGGCCGATCAGCTTTGGAAATTGATACAAAAATACCACTTTTCTTGAAAATGACAGTATACCAGGTGCCATGATTTTACAGGATGCTTTACACTGTCATTCACTAACAGTCCAGCAAGGTATTTCAAAATGATTTGGTAGTTTTATTTTTTGATGTTTGCAAATGTTGTATTTTCCCTTTAAGCAAATCCTGTCGCATAAATTGTAAGCTCCTTTCTGCACTGACTGCTTATTATCTCCCTGTAATGGACACATCCTCTGTTAGCAGAGAATAACATGTTAAGCACTAAGACAAATTCCATAGAGCTGCTATTAAGCAGAAAACATTGCTTACTAACTTTTTTGGTAAGCAAAAAAAATCAGCTGGGAAACAGTCCAAGCCATGACATTTTGACTGATAGCCTGTTGTTCCCAATAATAAGTTGTTTTTGTAGAGTGCTACATCATTATAACCTGCTAATTGGGCCAATGAAACATTCCAAATACCATCTCAGCTCCCTGGGGAATATACAGCTCGGTGCTGCCATTTTGGTGCAAAGCAGCTAAAATCAATCACAATAGCCATCTCTGCCCTCACAGGTACCCATTCACTCCTAGGTGGAGAGAAGCAATGGGTGACAAAGTGCCTTACCCAAAGGCACAGGCACCGTAGCCCCAGGCTGGACTCAAACCCACAACCTGCAGAATTACTCACAGACCATGAATTCAATGCTCTAGACCACGAGGCCACAGCACTCCTCAGCAAAACTGTTTTTGTGCATTTAGTGAATGAATGTGCTAACATCTTCTTTGCAGTCGCAGTCAACCACCGTTGGATTCAAGGTGCTACCCAAGAGCTCTGAGGAGCCGTCTGATCCCGTAGCTGTGTACAAGAGCACATTGGCAATACTGAAAGCACTGAGTGGGCCGTTACTTAGCCTCAAGACAGAGGGCAAAAACGGAGATGAGAACACAACGCTGATGGCTATGCTAGGTAGGGACTATCTCATTGTTTTTGCTAAGCTTTTTCCTCCTTTTTTGTCTTTCCTTTCCGCATTTTGTCCATATGTTTTGTATACATTTTCATTCTTCAAGCCTCTTTGGGAACTTTAATCAACTTTATTGTTTGTTTGTTTGTTTGTTTGTTTGTTTTCCATTCATACATTTACATACATAAGCAACAGTTTACATAGTGTAATATAACTAAATGTAGTTAAATAAATGTAGTTAAATAATAAGCTTTCCAATAAGGTCTTTCATGGTAATATACGCCATCTTGTTCATGGTAATATACGCCATCTTGTTTCATGGTAATATACGCCATCTTGTTTCATGGCAATATTCGCCATTTTGTTCAAGGGGCAAAAAGAACACACGTTGCTAGACGCGGGTGCATTTTTGGAATGACCGCATGATGACTTGCAAGTGCCAACGTTTTCTATCAACAATGCATACACATTCAAAAAATAACAGAGGATTTTGGAGGATTGAGGCTGTATGCATTTTTTACATGGAGGCAGTTGGAGGATTTTGCAGGATTGGGGCAGCAGTCACCCCTCCAAGGACCACATTCAAGAAATAACGAAGGATTTCGCAGGATTGAGGCTGTGTGCAATTTGTACATGGAGGCAGTTGGAGGATTTTGCAGGATAGAGGTTGCATCCCAGCAAAAGTGCCTAGGTAGTTAATTGATTGTGCTGTTTCAACGTCTAACACGTAAATTAGGTTTGTAACCAAATGTTTCTTTTTGTTTTTTTACAGGAGAACACGTCTGGCCAGAGCTGTCCAAGTGTATCATCACACATTGTCTGGTGCACTCGATACCCACAAGCAGCTCAAAGGTAGCCACACAGCATTACTTTCATCAAGACAATTTTTTCAGGGTTATGTTTAAACAAAAAATCAGCATCATTTCTTGAATGATTTGTTGTCTTTATCACATCTCTGAATTAACATTTTTTGTGTGCAGAGTATTATTTGAAAATCTTACGTGGAAAATTTCCAGAAAAAGTGTTCTAGAAACTTAAACACATGAAAATCAAACCGGGAGGTTTTCAGTGATGGAATTGTGCCAATTTGGTAGAAACAATAAAATTCACTTGTGATTTTGTGGTGTATATGAATAAAAAAAAAAAAGAAGTCTGCACATTTAATGCTGTGTAGTGAATATTCATGTTTGAAAATGTATTTACAGAAATAGTGTATGATAAAATTTGTTAATTTGTTTATTTTATCATATTCACCATTTTAGCTCAATGAATACAAAGCTGTCATCACGGCTACCGAGGGATTTGAAGCTTCTCTACGGAAAACAGGTCAGTCAGCAGTTACACAGCAAACCAAAACAAATAATCATACAGAATATTTATATAATATTGGATGGCTTTGAGGTGGAAACAAAGCTTTGAGGTGGAAACAAGGCTATGACAATATTGCACGAGTCGAAGACGAGTGCAATATTGTCATAGCTCGTGCAATATATTCTTGTATCCCCCCCCCCAAAAAAAAGCCATCCAATATTATTCTTATTTATATCAGGCTGACTTGATTCGCAAGAAATACAATTCAAGACACTGTCTTCATTTCTCCTTTTTCGTCAAACTATTTGAAGCTGCCATTGTAATTGTTGACAACAGTGTGTGTATATCTGACCTGCTGCGCGCTGCATGCTCGCTGCGTGGGCGTCTTTGTTCAACGGTACCGCGCACTACGCTCTGTTGAGTGGTTGACAACTGTGAGTTTCCAGCGAAAATGCCTGGATGAGGGCGCGCCGGAGAATTTCCAAATTATTGCTGTCATCTTGGTTCGTTTCACAAAAGCATACAATATGCTGATTTATTTTTTACCTCTGGAAGACTCATATAAATAATGAAATAAAAATACTGCCTTGAAGCTAAATATTTTAAATAGCAGAGAATTTCTCTTATTCAGGGTTTATTGCAGAAACTGCTTCTCCACTGCTGACCTACGCCAGAGATGTCAATGTCCACTTTGCTAACAAAAAGGTGAATTTTTTTTAATGTTAGTTACTTCTCAAAATGTTGAGGGAACATTTCTTGAATGGCAACATTCAGTTTGCGTGGTCCCTCCTGAAACTTTGTATGTGACCCTCCAGCACGAAACCAGTTAGAAGTTGTTCGGCCATATTTTGAGATACAGCCTATAATACTTAGAATAGTGATGAAAATTGGAAACTGAACAAATTTATAACTCCATCAGATTTTGTCAGATTCCCATATTATATACATAATTTGAAAGCTTCTTCAATGTCTTTTCCAATGAGCTCAAAATCCCGGTTTTCAAAAATTGGCTGTAGTGACTAGTCTTGTAATGGATGGTCACATAATTATCGTCGAATGCATCGATAAACTGCTCTGAACTTTGGGTTGAAAAGTGTTTTTGCCTTCATGACAAGGAAAATCTAGTCTCTCGAAATCCTATGATGATAACTTTTCATAGGTTTTCCCGGATTGGACGAGCACAAATGCTCCTGCTTAATGCTTACTACAGCATTCCATCATATTCTGCATATTTTGAATCTTTATCAATTTTCAACCTGTTCGTCAAACTTTTGTTCATGGATGTAGTCCAGTTCATCACAAATCCCTGCAAGTCCATCACAAGTCCTCCAGTCCCAATTCAACTCCCAAGCTGTTCACATGAGCTTTGACAAAGGCATTCCTTTGTTATTGTTCATCCACTGTTACTTGTGACTGGACTTGTGACTGGACTTATGACTGGACTTGTGACTGGACTTATGACTGGACTTGTGACTGAACTTGTGATTTACTCATGACTGGACTTGTGATTGACTTGTGACTGGACTCGTGATTTATTTATGACTGGACTAGTGATTTATTTATGACTGGACTTGTGATTTACTTGTGACTGGACTTGTGATTTACTTGTGACTGGACTTGTGATTTACTTGTGACTGGACTTGTGATTTACTTGTGACTGGACTTGTGATTTACTTGTGACTGGACTTGTGATTTACTTGTGACTGGACTTGACTACATCCCTGACATTTTTTATGTTTGGTTTATTTCAAGTGTCAAGAGCTGATAGTTGAAGCCCGCAAGCTGATGAAGAGAGAGCTGCACAATACAAAGAGAGTCGGTACAATGAAGGTTGACAACAAGGACGTCAAGGATCAAAAACAAGATACCAAGGTTTGAATTGAGACAGAATGGCAAAAAGGGCTTGATTTTGGAGGATGCCTTGTGTTGAGTTCATAGGCTGTACCCGGCATTGTGTGTGGTCAGCCATGCATAATTGAGCCCTGCATTATGCTTGATATCATCCACACAGCTTCTGAATGTCATCAGCACTGCCTCAACCCATTAACACTGATTGGTGGAGGATTTTGAAGGATTGAAGCAATGGTCACTCCTCCACTGCCGTAATTCAAGACATAATGAATGATTTTGGAAGATTGAGGCCAAATCAAATGTTCACATGGTGGCAATTGGAGGATGTTGCAGGATTGAGAATGGTTCCTAGCCAAACGGGCCTAGGGGGTTAGGGTTAATTGAAATGTTTATTCTTGATTTACGTTGAATGAGCTTATCGTATTGAAAATATATTTAATATGAAACCATTTAATATGTAATTTCATTGAGGACACTTGCATTGTAAACTGAACAACTTAAGTGCAAAGTAACAAAAAAACTTGGGAAAAACTTTAGGGATTCGACAGTCTGCTCTGAGACAACCCTTTGATGACAGTTGACACAGGATGACGTGGAACATGCTTTCAAGATGATGTTTAGGACAAAATGTAAAATTTGAAATTCTTGCTCTACTTTGTCTTCCTTCAGGACAAGTGCCACGTGAGTGAGGGTATCTTTGCACTGCCTGAGTGTGCAGTCAGTGACAGCATAGAGTGTCTTGTTAATCTAGCCTACCAGACATTACAAGAAGCTGCTAGTAACACACCACAGTGGTGAGTTGGAAAATGTGTCCATCTGGCTTTACGTGTTCTAGAAGGCTTAAATAATAAATAAATGTGGGGAGCTAATCATCCTTACTCGCAGAAGAAGCTGAATTGGTAGGAAGCAGCTACAACGTGGTCGAGCCAAAGGCATGTTATGTACAAGCGCCTCAAGCAGCCGTCGTATGACCCTTGTGGCACAGGAGAGAGTTAATGAACAACTCTACTCACATATCACCCGAGCCGGGAATCGAACCCAGCACACAGCGGTGAGAGGCGAGCGCTTTACGCACTGTGCCACCCATACCAACTGCCTGATCTGATGTGTTTATGCTATTCTCACCATAGTAAAGTAAAGTCTGTCGTGAGCCAATATGGCCCATCGGGCCAGCGTTTATTTATGGTTTCCTTTGCATGAAACGACTGGGAATATTTCTGTTCCCCACTGGATGGGATGCTAGTTCATCGCAGGTTACTCCCCAGCTAATGTCGGTACCCATTTATACTCCTGGGTGGAGAGAGGCAAGTGAGGGTGAAGTGGCTTGCCCAAGGACACAACATATGGCGAGCGGCTGGATTGGAACCTTTAACCCTCTGATCATGAGTCCTGAATCCAAACCACTTGGCTGCACTTGTCCCGAATCGTGTGAAAAAGCAAAAGTGCCTTTTTTCCATGCAAATTAAAATGTGTTGAACATTTTGTTGGTCAGTGGACACAATATATTCAACTTTAACCCACGTAGTGTAAAGGATTCCTTCAAATGTTTTATTTTTATGTTTGCAGTGCCATCCAGCTGTTCTACACAGTGCGAAACATGTTTGAGATATTTTGCGATGTCGTACCCACATACCACAGAGATAGTCTGGTGAGTCAACTTCTAGACTTTTTCAAACAGTCATTTGGTACTTCTGAATTTCACTGTCGTCTGCTTGTTGAGCCAAAGAAAATTAAAAATGCACAGAAAGCAAATGTTCCCATGTACCTTTAACTGGCATGCAACTGGGAATTTTGAAAAAATGAGGAAATTCTGAACCACACATGACTTTGTACAGTGTTTTTCAATTTGTAATGGTATTCATGAGAAGTAAAAAACAAGGAAATCAGTGGATCCAAGGAAAAATTGCATGCCTGCTTTAACCAGTTCGCACCAGAGGCCGTGTATACACGCACAAGTTTTGGGTACTCCGAACCGATGACAGATACACACGCAGGGAGAGAGGCCAGAAATATTTGTCAGCGGCCCACTCGCAGCAAGCGAGGCCAGAAATATGAGTGTGCTGCCCGACGGTGATGGCTTCAACCCGCCTGGCTTGAGGATGAGTGAAAATATATCCTGCGCCTCGTTCCGTTCTTGTCAAAATAATCCCAGCATTAACTGGTTAAAGCAAGGATAAAAACAACAAAACAAGGTAATGTTGATATTGTCTTAAAATTTCTTTACAGAAATCTTGACTTTTTATAATTATTTTTGCTTGTTTTTCTTGTGAAACAGCAAAAGCTACCCCAGGTGTGCGCTCTTCACCACAACAACTGCATGTACATCGCCCATCACCTGCTGACGCTGGGCCATCAGTATCGTCAATCCTTACCCCCGCCCCTCTGTGACGGCACGTCCACGTTTGTCAACCTCATCCCTGTCTTCAGGAAGCTGGCATCCGAATGTTTCTTGGCTCAAATGGTAAAAAAACAGCAGCCTTTGTTTTTGTCAGTCATTTGTACCGAGTCAACACAGCCTCGACGTGTTGGGTTTCTACTGTACCTCCCAATATTTCAGTGGGACTAAACTTTAGCAGTTATTTTTATTGTCTAGAACTTTGATCCCCTTGTGAACCCTAACCCTGTCAGACGCAACACAGTGCATCAGGTGCGAACATCTGTGGGACCTTGGTGCACTGAGCTTTCAAAACTAATGAAAAAAAACAGCCTAAACTGAAACAATGAGAGCTAGTCCCATTGAACAATGCCACAGTTGTATGCTGCTGTGATTGGTGACCACAGACTCTGAGGCAGTTTGGCCTTAAAGCTACAGTCCATCATTTGTAATTTGTGCATTTTGTTCGTTTGAAGCAACAAAAGAGTTCAAAATCTAATGAAGGATACTGAGCAACTAACCTGATGAAGTTTCAGCTGAGCTTAAGCTGTACATTCCGAGAAAAACAGCATTCTAAGATCTCAATTTCAAATCAAAAGTTACTGAATCATGTTTTGAATTGTTTTGAATTGCAGCTTTACGTGACGTCGCGCACTGATCCGACGAATTATAACAACCGCGCGCGCGCGTGCGTCGTTCCAATACATGTGCGCGCTGCGCTGAATAACAAAACGAACTACTAATTTAAATTTTCCAACGGTGCTTCTTAAGAATCAGTGTTGGAAATGCCTTCTTTCGTTGATTACTTCAAAATGACAGCTTCCCAGAAAGAATAATTTCACAGGCAGTTTAGTCCCCTTACTATCTTTCAACCAAGTTTGTTTTTCAACAATAATTACGCCAGTTACTTTTCGGATGGCTGCAAATGATGGACTCTAGCTTTAAGCTTATTGACCTGATGGATCATTCTACACTGGGCAGGCTTTTCATTTTGACAAGTGTCACACATTACTGCAATTAGCAGGGTTTCTAGCCACAATACCCTGGAGGGTTAGGGTTAAGGCCAGTGTATCCTTCTTGGATATGCCAGTCCTAAGTTTTGACATCACAGCAGGTATTCATCCCACAGATTACAAAAGTTGCATCACATTTCAACCGCAGCAAATTTCGCTTCAATGCGATGTCCAATGTGCATTGCACTCACATTCAAGCGAAATAAATAAACTCTCCTTATCCTGTATTTGCATTACCGCTTCTGTGTTACAGAGAATGCAGTGAGATCAATTAGTGGAGAGTCTGTCTGGTGCTGAGGGCTTTGACCAAGTAGCAACTGACGACAACTTCTTGGCGTGTGAGAGGGCCATTAAACAAGTAGGTTCGGCAACAATCCAGAATTTTAGGCCAAGTGAAAGATAAACCAGTTTCTTGCCACGGCCCGCTTCCTTTTTCCTGCTTGCTTCCTTTGTTGTGTTTTTTTTTATTCGTACATTTACAAAATAATTTACAAATGAATTGTCAATGTATTTGTTTCTAATGAAACTGTACCTTTGTAGAAGGGGTCACAGCTCCTTCAGACACAATTTTGTATCAACAAAAGAGTCGAGAAAATGGATCAATCGATTCACCATCTTGGACAATCCACCATCTTGGGGGGGGGAGGGGGAGGGGGGGGAGTGCCAGCCTCCTTACTTTTTTTCAAAAGGCTCGGACGATAAAGTATTTTTGTTTTTTTACTCGGCCTTATCTAGGACTTGGATTTCCACATAAGAATATTCAAATATTCAATTTTGTTGATCAATATGAAGTCAAAGTAAAGTTTCACCTCTACCTTTTTGGTTAGGAATCCTCCCAAATCCTTTAAAGAAATCCTCCATCTTGCATTTCTGAAAATTACAGCAAAAGCAAATGTTGTATATTAAGCCTTTAACAGGCACGATTTTGTCTGAAATCAGACCTTTTGAATCTGAGAGAAAGACATTACCGGTCTCTCAAGGAATGCATCTGTCAGACCTTATATCCATTTTTAAGACCTTTTCTTTTTGAATTGGCAATCTCATCCCTGTCTTTATCCCAATGCAGGTTGTCCATCAGTTGGGTCACCTCCAGCGAGTCTGGACCGACATCCTCCCCAGTAACATCTACACCAAGGCCATGTCTACACTCATCAACACGGTACTCATGCACATCCTGGAGAAAGTCTCGTCATTTGAGGTGAGAAGATCCCTAAAGTATTTGACTGTTTCATGCATGTACGGTGCAAGAACACACAACTGATTGAATTCTGTACAAACTTCTAGCGTCTTGGCATGGGCGTCGGGCACTGCCGGCAGTGCATTAGATTGCCCCTTCCAGTGGTCTCCCCGAATCCTCCTTTTGTAACTGTGGAGCTGGTACTTGTGCAAGGAGTCTATGGGCTGCCAAATTCCTAATTCAACATGTTTTAGTGACTATTTTTAAGCTGTGGCAGGAGCGTCTACATGTCACTTGGTCGGTCGGTTGGTCTGTCTGTCTGTCCCATAGACATATACACGTAACAAAACCTAGACACGACATTTGCTATTGCGTCTGTGAGCAAAATGCTGCGCGTATAGAATAACGTGTGAAGCTAAGATCCAAAAGCGCCGTAGGCGCAGCGCTATGCCGCGCTATAGGATCTTTTAGGTATAAAGTATGCGTGTAAATCGAAGCCATGCATGACACTCGCGCATCGCGTAATTAAGCCGCGTGATGCAGCCCGTTTTGCTCACAGAATTTACAACATAAAAGCAGGTAATGTTGTGTCTAGGTTTTATTATATGTCTGTAGTCTGTCCCCGAAAATTTACAAAATATATTTGACCAAAAAATCGACCAAATGCCATGCCGTCGTCAGTAAATGCACTCTTGACGAACATTACTGGAAAACGGGGTTTGTCTCTATCGATGCGCATGCGCGTCTGTTTTACATATATGTCTGTCCCTGGAAAATTGACCCAAAACAAGCCCCCTAAGTTTCCCATAAAATGTAACTACCAAATTCTAGCAAACAAAAACAATGAAATATTTAACAAAACACTTTGTAAAGTTGTTTATGAAAATTTTGTAAATGGGGGCAAGATAATGCGTAGCAATGTTAATAGTCACGTAGTGTGTACCCCACTATTTTGATGGGAAACTTAGGGGGCTTATTTTGGTCAATTTTCAGCTCGTGATTTTCACGTGGGACGGCTGCCCTGGCTTGTTTTTATGCACAATCATTTCATGCAAGGTGACCAGAGCTTATTGTGCACTCGCACTTGTTTGGTCTGTGATATCCTTGTGGAATACTGCCACTAATTGGGTAGAGAAATTTTAGAGAAAATTGGTTAGAGAATTTTTTATTTTGCTCAACTTCTCAGGACATCTCAGCTGATGATGCGCAGCAGTTACATTCATTACTCTCGGGACTGCAAGACAGAATTCCACACTTGATCAAACCAGGAGAAGTTGAGGTATTTTCTCTCTGACTCGTATGTTTTTTGCCAAATTTGTTGATCCCACCAAAAACTGACGTATCTGGTATATCGGATGCACCTCATATGTGAGGCGTTCTGGCCAAATGAGACAGAACTGGGCAGAGGTTGGAATGAGGGTTTGCTGGTATTAGCAATGACAATAAAATTCTCCTTTCAAACTGTTTGTTGCACTTCAATCGGACATTGCGTTGACAAGTTATGGCTGTTTAAAGTTTGCATTTATCGACATGTCAAAAAAGTAAAATACATGTACAGAGAAAAAGGCCTTTAAGTTTTGAGTTTTGCATTCGTGAAAATTGAAAATGCCAATTGTTTTTCCATTTTTATTCCTTGATTTTTGTACTATTTCTTTAAAATATATGTAGTAGGCATATCAAAAATAATCAATATCAATAAAGCTAAAAATGGGGCAAAAATCACCCCCCCCCTTTTTTTTCATTTTTCTCCACTTTGGCCTGTGCCCAGTTCCCACCATTTCATGGCACACAATTTGTGTAGCAACCGATAAAATTAGACATTTGTTTTACAACCAAATACTGTTAAATGAAAACTACAAAAGCATTCTCCAGAGGGGTGTTATACATACTCTCATAAGGAGGAATACGCGAGTAAAATACAGGGATGTAGTTCAGTCCATCACAAGTCCAGTCGTAAGGAAATCGCAAGTCCAGTCACAAGTCCAGTCACAAGAAACAATAGATGAACAATAACAAGGGAATGCCTCTGTCAAAGCTCATTTGAATAACTTGTGAGTTGAATTTGGACCGGAGGACTTGTGATGGACATGTGATGGACTTGCAGGGACTTGTGATAGACTCGACTACATGCCTGGTAATATACTCTCCATAGCATTAAGAAAGATGTGTGTAAACGCCATCTGCGCTGTGCATGATTGATACAAACACTATTGTACATTACTTGAATGCTTCATTATTTTTTCCAGACAACTAAAAATGTATTCCTATATACTGTAAAGATGGTTGACTTTTGGTATTTTGATTGATGCATAGGAACCAGTTTTGGTGCAGAGTACCGTTGATCAGTGGACGTCATTCAGCGAGTTGCTGTTTATGTTAGATGCCAGCATGCAAGATATTGTCGACAGGTGGGCGGAGGGCAAGGTGAGATACACCATAAATAGGATTCAAATTTTAAGTAGTAAAACTCTGTCAGGTTGAATAAAGAAATTGACTGGAGCGGGGTTTGAACCTATTACTTCAAGATTGCCATTCCAGTGCTCGATCAACTGAGCTATCCAGCGCTATGCTGGCAGGTCCCCATTGGTATTTCTAGGTTTGCAGCATTGCTAATGTTGCTAGCATCGTGACTTAAGGCGTGATCCCTGGCTACATGGCATATGTGGGTTTACGGCTTCTGACTAGCACCCCTTGAACAAAGACATTGACAAACCACCAACATTGGGCTGAATAGCTCAGTTGGTAGAGCACTGGAACGGCAATCCGGAGGTCACAGGTTTAAACCCTGCTCCAGTCAATTTCTTTGCTCAACTTTAAAATTAAAAACATTGTTAATGTTAGGAACTCCTCTTCTTGTCTAGTTGTTCTTCAAACATTTGAGACTGTGATTCTCTCCGTCATTCCAGGGACCACTCGCTATGGTGTTCAGCGCCAGCGACGTGAAGAGCCTGATACGGGCCATCTTCCAGAACACCGACAGACGAGCCACAGCGCTCGCCAAAATCAGATAGGATCAGCCGGGAAAGTAAGCTGAGTTCAAGGCATATAGGATCATTTGCCATCATTTCATGAACATGACCAAATTTAAGGGCTAATAATTTATAGCTGACATCATTCCACTGAGCTGTTCAATGTATTGTGTCTCCATTTGTGCTGAAAAATCACGAAAAAAAACCTGTTCTTTTTCAACCCTCAAAGTGCAGTTTGTAGAATATGTCGTGCATAGAATCCATAGGTCACAGGGTGTGCCAGAGTGCCATCTCTGTCGTGGGAAAGTAATGCACAGATATGCCTAGCATACCCGAGCATATGCATGAAGTCAAAAGCCAACTCGCAGCTGTTTAACAGATGTAGTATTTTAGATAACTGTCTGTTCTCAGCGATGGTTGGGTCCGTATGATAGGCAGAGTGTGATATGGACCATGGTATATGAGATATTATCTTCAAATACACTTGAATCCTCGATCCTGACTGGTCAATCCATGGCAACAAGCCGTGCTACATATAACCATGTAGCACGGCCACGGTCCATACTGCACTCCGCATATTGCACTATTCTAAGATGCGCGCGCCATTCCATACAAACATGTACAGCGGCATGTGTGTTTCATCTTACTGTGCCTCAAGTTTGCTTAAAGACCAATCAGGATCAATGATTTAAGTTTGATTGAAGATAAATTTTCATATTTGCATTTCTACTTTTGATTTTACATAACACAGCTGACGTTTGTCACAGCCAAATCATCCCGCGTCAACTTATGCCCATGGGTACAGCATATTAAAGGGACATTCAGGCCTGGAATACGCCAAATTGGGCTACTAAACAATATCAAATGGAAAGAGCATTTAAAGTAGATTATAAACATCCACACAAACATCCTTTAAGAACTGTGTATTTTGTGTTTTACTTGCGAGAGCCATGTGAGAACAAATTTCAGAAAGCACAAGATATTATAAAATACAAATTTGAAGGCAAATGAATGCCTAATTTCTACAAACTCATTGTTTCGATGGCTTACAGGAGCTTCAATGGGATTCCTTTTTTCTTTTTTGTTGGTGAAATCTACAAGCAGAATGTCGCTCAAAAGATTTGGCAGGCCTTTTCTTTAGGGACCTTGCATCACAACTAATAACAGGTTAGCACATTTCAAATTGTTTTTATTCTAGACAAGCTCGCAACAACAAATTCCTCATCACTTGCAACAACACCGTGATGCCAGGCACGGCACAGTTACTACAACATAGCACCTGCCTCAGATTGTCTGCTCACCAGAACAACCCGACGACAGCAGCGCCTGTAACTGGTATCCAGCAAGCTGGTGTCCTATCACTCCATAGATTGTCAGTTGTTACTCAACCCACCAGTTTGTGTCATGACTGTGACGTCGCCTGCCGTTCAGCCATTGGTCGGTGGAAATCAGTTGACTGAGTTTGATACGAGCCGCAGGATGTATGACCAAGTAAGCATTTGGTTAATAACCCAAAGCTGTACCGCCCTAAACCGCCTTGCCTGTTACTCGCTGTACTACCCCAAACTGCCCTGCCTGTTACTCCCATGCACTGCCCCAAACCACCTTGCCTGTCACTCCCTGTACTGCCCCAAACTACCCTGCCTGTTACTCTCTGTACTACCCCAAACTGCCCTGCCTGTTACTCCCATGTACTGTCCCAAACTGCCCTGCCTGTTACTCCCACGTACTGCCCCAAACTGCCCTGCCTGTTACTCCCATGTACTGCCCCAAACTGCCCTGCCTGTTACTCCCACGTTCTGCCCAAAACTGCCCTGCCTGTTACTCCCATGTACTGCCCCAAACTGCCCTGCCTGTTACTCCCATGTACTGCCCCAAACTGCCCTGCCTGTTTCTCCCATGTACTGCCCCAAACTGCCCTGCCTGTTACTCCCACGTACTGCCCCAAACCACCTTGCCTGTTACTCCCATGTATTGCCCCAAACCACCCTGCCTGTTACTCCCTGTACTACCCCAAACTGCCCTGCCTGTTACTCCCATGTATTGCCCCAAACCACCCTGCCTGTTACTCTCTGTACTGCTCCAAACTGCCCTGCCTGTTACTCCCAAGTACTGCCCCAAACCACCCTGCCTGATACTCTCTGTACTGCTCCAAACTGCCCTGCCTTTTAATCCCGGTTCATACTTCATGCGAAAGTGAATGCAAATCTTTGACGTCATGGCAAGTATTCGCGCTGCGAATTTGCAAAAGTTGAACACATTTCAACTCGGGCAAATTTCGCAGCAAATGTTTCATGATGTCAAATTCGCTTTGCATTCGCATTCGCATGAAGTATGAACCGGGCTTTACTCCCTGTACTGCCCCAAACTACCCTGCCTGTTACTCCCTGTACTGCCCCAAACTACCCTGCCTGTTACTCCCTGTACTGCCCCAAACTACCCTGCCTGTTACTCCCTGTACTGCCCCAAACCACCTTGCATGTTGCTCCCTGTACTGCCCCAAACCAGCCTGCCTGTTACTCCCTGTACTGCCCCAAACCACCCTGCCTGTTACTCCCTGTACTGCCCCAAACCACCCTGCCTGTTACTCCCTGTACTGCCCCAAACCACCCTGCCTGTTACTCCCTGTACTGCCCCAAACCACCCTGCCTGTTAATTGCTGTACTGCCCCAAACCACCCTGCCTGTTACTCCCTGTACTGCCCCAAACCACCCTGCCTGTTAATCCCTGTACTGCCCCAAACCACCCTGCCTGTTAATCCCTGTACTGCCCCAAACCACCCTGCCTGTTACTCCCTGTACTGCCCCAAACCACCCTGCCTGTTACTCCCTGTACTGCCCCAAACCACCCTGCCTGTTAATCCCTGTACCGATACCACCGTGGACCACCCTGCCTGTTACTTCCTTGAAACAGCCCTGCCTGTTCTACCCAAACTTCCCGGCGCGCCTCAAAATTTTTCTCAAGCCAATTAAAAATCTGTTTTATTTAACTTTTATAAATTTGTTTTTTATTTCTGTCTAGGTTCCACCATTCCTCCTTCAGTCTTCACTGACTGCAGGTGTCGTCAATTCTTCAGGAGCTATGAAGCCTCCTGCGGACATCCAGAAACGCATCTTGCTTCAGCATCTACGCCTGCAGCTGGAGTTGCTACAGGCTCAGCGACTACAACAAGCGTGCCGCCGCCTAAATGTAAGACGAGGCAGAAACACAGAAAGGGGATGGCAGTATATGGTTCTAGAGGAGCGGTGATTAACGTGAAGAAGCTATGTCACATGCAGGATGCTGAGAAAAGTAAAAAGCACAAGAACAACTCAACCGCCAGTCGAGACAAACACAGCCCAACATTCAAAGTTGACGGGGCTGTGAATTGTGTGCTACAATATCCAACCTGGCAATTGTAAACAACAACAACAACAGTAATAACAAATGTGACGGTGACTCTCAAGATTGTTTGACCCAGCCCCATGCTCTAAACTCGTTACGGAAACGAAAATCTTCCAAACAACAGAGAAAACGCAGCAGTGGAATTGATGCGTTGCGTGGAATAACAGTCAGTGATTCCGAGCCAGTAGTGGACAACATCGGCCATTGCTTTTGAAGTCGGCAAAGAGTCTGTACCCCTTGACTTGTCCTGCACTCTTATGCCCACCTACAACACGGGGAACATGATTGCCTCTAATGCCGCTTTCGAACCGACGACTGGGTTGTGGCAACGGAAACCAGGCTATGAACATGTCAACATGATAAACCAATCCCAACGTCAAGGATTTGAATTTAGTCAGATCCCAGAGGTAAGGTCCCCAGAGTCCACCTATCTGTTGTACAGTTGCTGTGACGATGAGGCATGGTACCAGTCCTCGCAGTCTGATGAGGTGGATATGCTGCCCAATCAGAGCTCGGCATCTCCTGCTGCTGGCCAATCAAATGCCAGCATGAGCTCGCCAATGCAACCGTGGTCATTCTTTGCAAGGCTTGTGCACAGCGAGCAACAGAAGTCCCTATTTTAAAATAATATTCAGTTTGTAACCCAATTTGCAGTAAATGAGTATTTGTAGTTATAGAAATAAGTGCAAGAGTTCTATTTTTCAAACATAATTTCGTTGTTCTAAATTGCCAGATAGTTTCGTTTATTTTGCCCAAGGTAAGCTTCAAAATTACAGTGTATTCCTGAAATCCCTGTACGTTATGTACATTGTATGTACAAAACAGCTGATGTGAATTTATGTGATTGTTCTACCTTTTATATTCAAACGAAAAGAATCAGATTTGATCTTAGATTGAACACGAGTGTATACTGTTTTACATCTGTGTATGTTGTGTAAAACGTTTCAATACACATGTATCAGAATATATGTATCAGCTGGAATAAATATCCAGAGTGCGGAGGCAAACGAATATGAACACTGTTGTGATTCCTGTATTTATCAGGTGTACATACTTGTCGTTTAGAGAAAAGTCAGCAGTTTTGGGGTTTTTTTTAACATTTAAGTATTACTGTAGGCCTAAAGCTGGGTCCTTGATTTTTTTTTCGATTTTGGCAAAAACAAAAACGAAATTGTTTAAACTTGCAGGGAAAAAAATGCTTAGAGGACATTTAAACGCATTCTAATTGGATTTCTGGACCCGTGTGCTTCTCAACCGAACATTGCATTGAAAATTTGGGGGAGAGCGGTTCAAAATGACATTTTTTTTCTCAATAGATCAGTCAATTTGTCCAAATCTTCAAATTTGTTGTGTATATTTCAAGCTTAATACGCTACATTGTTTTGGTTAAATTATTTTATTGTTTGACAACCAATGACTTTATTACTTAATCACACTATTACTTTATTACATTAAATGTTACGATATCGTCTCCACAATGAGTTTGTTGGTTTTGTTCAATGTAAGTTGACTCGATTTTGCCATGCAATTTATTTTTCGCGTTTAACACACTACATTGTTTCGATTATAATAATTGTATTGATAAACGATTCCTCTCCAAATTCAACAAATTTGTATTATCTGTCTAGTTTAAATAGTAGTCAAAATTTAAATTCAGTGCAGCAGATACTTCTTGAGTTATATTCTGGAAACGAGTGTGTTGTTTTCGTGTCGTGAAAGTTGACACTAAATTGCCATTTTTTTCGCTGAACACGCTACATTGTTTCGGTTATAATAATTGTATTAATTATTAATTGATTCCCCTCCAATTTCAACAGATTTGCGTTATCTATCCACTTTAATCAATGTATGAAATTTCAATTCAATGTAAGAGATGTTTCTAGAGTTATTTTTTGGAAACCGAGTGTGTTGCTCGTGTCATGAAAGTTGAGTAAACTTCGCCTTGTATTTTTCACGCTTAACATGGTAACATGTTCGGGTTAAATTATTTTTTATTTTTTGACGATTCTTCTTCAATTTCAAACAGTTTGTGTAACCTATGACGACAAAACACTCAATAAAATTTGATTTCAATACATAACAAATTTCTTGAGATATCGTCTCCACAACGAGTGTGTCATTTTTGTTCCATGAAAGTTGACTTGAATTCAGCTTATATTGATCGCGCTTAACACGCTACATGTACATTGTTTTGGTTAGGCCTATAATAACTTGATTAATTATTGATTCCCCTCCAAATTCAAGAGATTTGTGTTATCTATCTAGTTTAAACAAAATACCAAATTTCAATTCAATAAATTACCTGAAAGTTGCTAGAAAGATGTCTTAAGGGCCCCAGAACGCATTCCAAATCGATTGATGGACAGATGTGCTATTAAAAGGGAAATTCTGTCGAAAATTACTTTGTTTTCCAAAAAAATGATGATTTTTGCAAAAATCTTCAAAATTATGTGTGTTAGAGTATTGATTGATGTTCCTCTAGCATCCAGATGAATTTCTGCCTAGTTTTGAGAAAAGTAAATTTTTGGCCGATTTTGACTAAAAATGTAAGGCTAGCTAACCCCTTGCATTTTTTAAATTTTGGCCAAAAAATGAAATTTCCTGAAAGTTGCTAAAAAGACGCCTTAAGGGTCCTAGAACGCATTCCAAAACGATTACTGGACAGTTGTGCTATTAAAGGGGAAATGCTGTTTAAGAAAATAAGGTTAAATCGCCCCAAAAAAATTCTTTTTTTCCCTCCAAAAATTGACGATTTTTGCACATCTGTACAGCAATCGATTTGGGGAAAGGGGAAATCCTGTCGAAAAATTAAGATAAAAAACTATGTACCGCTAGAGGCGACCACCAATAGTCGCCCCCAGAGGTACGTACCGCTAGAGGCGACCACAAATAGTCGCCCCTAGAGGTACGTACCGCTAGAGGCGACCATCAATAGTCGCCCCTAGAAGTACGTACCGCTAGAGGCGACCATCAATAGTCGCCCCTAGAGGTACGTACCGCTGGAGGCGACCATCAATAGTCGCCCCTAGAGGTACGTACCGCTGGAGGCGACCATCAATAGTCGCCCCTAGAGGTACGTACCGCTAGAGGCGACCACAAATAGTCACCCCTAGAGGTACGTACCGCTAGAGGCGACCATCAATAGTCGCCCCTAGAGGTACGTACCGCTAGAGCCGACCATCAATAGTCGCCCCTAGAAGTACGTGCCGCTAGAGGCGACATCAATAGTCGCCCCTAGAGGTAGTACCGCTAGAGGCGACCATCAATAGTCGCCCCTAGAGGTACGTACCGCTAGAGGCGACCACAAATAGTCGCCCCTAGAGGTACGTACCGCTTTTGACGATTTTGACGAAAAATGTAAGGCTAACCCTTTGAATGCCACTGCCGTAGCAAGTTTTGCTACGTGTTCAGACACAAGACACTGTTTAGGAAGAGAAAAACAATATTGTCTTCTTTTCATGACCGTGTCGTCGTGCACTATCGTTCCTGTGAAAAAGTGAGGCAAAACAAGACACTGTTTAGGGAGAGAAAAACAATATTTCGTTTAAATCTTCTGTCTATTTTGTCTTCTTTTCGTCACCAATCATCTGGTCAAAATTCAATTCAATGCTCCAATTAGTTTTTGAGATAGCGTGTCGACGTGGACTATCGTTCCTGTGCAAAAGTGAGGCTAATATTCTGTTTGGACTGCCACTGCAGCCCGTCGCCAAGTTTTGCTACGTGTTGCGACACAAGACACTGTTTAGGGAGAGAAAAACAATATTTCGTTTAAATCTTCCGTCTAGTTTGTCTTCTTTTCATGACCAATTATCTGGCCAAAATTCAATTCAATGCTCCAATTAGTTTTTGAGAAAGCGTGTCGTCGTGCACTATCGTTCCTGTGCAAAAGTGAGGCAAATGTTCTGTTTGGACTGCCACTGCAGCCCATCGCCAAGTTTTGCTACGTGTCGCGACACAAGACACTGTTTAGGGAGAGAAAAACAATATTTCGTTTAAATCTTCCGTCTAGTTTGTCTTCTTTACATGACCAATCATCTGGCCAAAATTCAATTCAATGCTCCAATTAATTTTTGAGATAGCGTGTCGTCGTGCACTATCGTTCCTGTGCAAAAGTGAGGCTAATGTTCTGTTTTGACTGCCACTGCAGCCCGTCGCCAAGTTTTGCTACGTGTTGCGACACAAGACACTGTTAAGGGGGAGAAAAACAACATTTCGTTTAAATCTTCCGTCTAGTTTGTCTTCTTTATATGATCAATTATCTTGCCAAAATTCAATTCAATGCTCCAATTAATTTTTGAGATAGCGTGTCGACGTGGACTATCGTTCCTGTGCAAAAGTGAGGCAAATGTTCTGTTATCAATAGTTGTTATCAAATGTAAGGCTAACCCCTTGAATTTTTTTCAAAAGACGATATTGCACGTTTAAAACACTTAATTGTTTCGATCTCAAGTGCTTTCCTGTTGGACGAATCCCCATGATTGAAAATATACTCCTGAATGTGATACATTATGAAGAGTTATTGGACGGAATTCGATTCAATACAAGCTGTAAATTAATCGCTACCCGAACCTTGAGTATATTTTTGACGGTTAAAACACTCTTGAAATTAAATTGGCGACCGTGACACATTATGAACAATTACCCAACGAAATAATGAGTTAATTCATTCAGTATTCCCCGATATATTGCCCGAAACATGAATGTCTTCTTTTTACTCAAAAGTCAGACATCCGTGTTGACGCTGTACGAGTAGCGACCACTGTGCATGTGGCGCGCCCTCTATTGAAAGATTGGCTAAAAATGATATTCTTTTAATCAATTAGTCGGTGATTTTTTTTGCCCAAATCTTCAAAATAATGTGCTTGAATGTTGATAGATACTTATCTGACATCGAAAGAGGTTTCGGAGTCGTTTGGATAAAAGTATTTTTTTTTATTTGGCCAAGCATTTGAGAGAAACAAAATAATGAAAGTTAATAAAACTCAGAAATATTTTAAAAGTCACACCTTATACATAGAGCTTAGTAGTTGCACTCTGCAATTTTATTCAATCCATTCATTTCAGAAACCTTAAACTAGAAAATCATTTGAATCAAAGCAAGAAATAAAACAACAAGACAAACAAATCCAGTGTTAACCTTGTAATAATCACTGAAAAATGCAATCATTTCCAAAAACCAGAGCGTGAATTTGGACAGCAATATTTGTAAGACAAAATGAAACAATGTTAAAAAAACTTGTACTGTCACATGCAGTTCAAATTTCCTTTTGTTACTTTGATTGAACATACTTGTACATACTCTGAGCAGACCTATTTATATTAAAGAGGGCAAACGGTTTTGCAATTGATAAATCAGACGCACGGCAAGTTTGTTTAAATAGATTTCTCGTCGACTTGTATTTTTGAAGTCGAGTTAAAGAGTGCATGTTGGATCAATAAACTGCGGGCTTGTGATAGATATGGTAGACATTTTTGAAAAAGCAAGTCAACAATATAAACTTTGAGTACTGAAAAGAAATGAATATGTCTCCAAAGCTTTGAACATGGATTTTTATCAGTGGGGAAATAACGGATAATTTGAACAAAAATTTGACATAATTTTTCAATTTTCTTTTCATTTTGAGGAGAAAAACATGTTTTGCATTCAAATGTTTTTGTTTTAGACAGTTACATACCCAGTTGAAAGGAAAGGAAGATACTTGAAGTGATACATGATAATATTTGTAAAATACATGCAGCTTCATGAGAAATGAAAGTAACTATTCAGCACTTGATTACAAGTACATGTTATTGAGAATATTTTAGAAGGAATTTCTTAAGAAAACATGATAAAGTTTAAAGAAAGGACTGTTGTTTTAGAGAAATCGTCTTTTGGGAAAATTTTAGTAAAAATATATATTCTATTTTAATTATGGCAACAAATTTAGATTGCTTGAAACTTGCAGGAAACTTGCCCGAGGACAAAAAAAATAAGTCTTCAGTTTCTGGTACGGAGCTTGCCCAAAAATTAAAGCGGTGACGTGGCTTTTTTTTTTTCTTTCTTCAAATGTCAAATGTTGGTTGATGACTGCAAATGGTGCCCGATTAAATCAAGTCCAAAATATATGTCAGCCCAGAGAGGCAACATAAAGCTTATGCTTGATAGTAACACCATCTAAAAACACATTAAAGTTGTGCAGCAACAGGATTCCAGTCAAACCAGTGAGTTTGGCAGTTTTGAGACATCATCTTAAGCCTGGTTCATACTTCATGCGAATTCGAAGCGAATTTCACGTCATGAAACATTCGCTGCGAAATTCGCCCGAGTAGAAATGTGTTCAACTTTTGCGAATTCGCAGCGCGAATACTTGCCATGATGTCACAGATTTGCATTCCCTTTCGCTTTCACATGAAGTATGAACCAGGCTTATCAATGAAACAAAAAAAAGTTTTTAAGTTTGCCGTCACGCATGGCTGCGGTGATGTGTGCATACTAGAAACTGGGGCCTAAAGTACTTGAGGCCAAATTCCAACACGATTTCTGGTCAGATATTCCATCCAACAGATAATCGCGTCAAAAATATGGGGAAAATCGCGGTCACAAAAGATAACTTTTTTTTCCAATCAATAAACCAGTAATTTTTGCTCAAATCTTCATGATAATTTTTTTTTTGAACATTGATTGAAAGTCATCTTACATCGTAGGGCATTTCCGAGTCATTTGGAGGCAAGTCCTGTTTTGGCAAAATTTCGTAAAAAATGTAAGGTTAACCCCTTGCAAATTGTTGAGTTTCAGTAAAAAAAAACAAATTACTTGAAACTAAAAGAGCAAACTGTGAAGAAAGTGTAAAACTGCACCTTGAAGAAATACCTTACAATACAATGGCAAAATTATCTCCAGGAATTCCATCTTAGGGCATACAATCAACCCCCCCCCCACTTGATCAACCTAGCCCCACCCCTAATTAATCTTGATTTCCCACACCAAATAAGCAATGCTTAGAATCAGGAATTGAAGGCGACATGTTGACACATCTATGGCGTGCATCGTTTTATGAAGCGTGGGTAGAAGCAGACGTCCCTGATATGCATGCGGTTTAGGATCCAGGTCAAGAATCGTCCAGTCCGAGACCGTAGCCTCCGTGAGGACAGGTACCGTACTTCCTCTGTGGAGGGAAGAAATACAAGAAATATTCAGTACGCACAAATTTGGCTAAACTGGAGGCCATTAGATGGAACTAGGTTCAATCAAGGACAATAGTATACAAATATGGAATGCTTGGAGTGGTGTAGTAAACCTAGCCGCCTCAGGTGATCCATGGACATTCTATTTTCCTGAGGGGAAGTAAAGGGAAAATTGAATGCTCCATGGATCATCGACGGAGGCTAGTTTTACTTCACCACGAGATAAAGCATTCAATATGTGTTTCACAACACTTCACCCACAGATTCTTCTAGGTTTTTAATACCTTAAATTACATAAATCTGAACACAGTTAAAATGAACTTCTATTTCAATACAAAATTGGTGGGAACTCTTCCAAACCACCCCTTCACAAAACGTTTGAATCCAACTCTGTGGCGCGCTCTCTTGGATACAATACGCGCTACGTGCATGCCAGCATGCATTTGCACACAAAAACCGCACCGTGGGTATACAGTAGATTCCCGTTATAGCGCTCTCAAAGGGACCGAACTGAACCGAACGTTATAACCGCACAGCGCTGTAACCGACGTACATGTACATGTACAAATACATGTACACATGTACATGTACATGTACACACATACACGTACATGTATGTATGACTGTACGAGTTGGACTATACATATAAATGTAACATGTAAAGCCTGTGATTCTTCTGTTGGACACCTCCATCAAAATCATATTGTTCGTTTCAAAATGGGGAGAATTACTTCTGTTGCCACATACACAAAATAATGAAACATTTCTGTTTAAAGTCGAATAAAACAGTCGAGAAAATCATGGCATCTACGGAGTTATCTTTAATTTGAATTTTGCCGCATAAAATATGAAAGTTTACAAAACATGCATAACCTATAACTGAACAGAAGGATTTTTGTTTGAACATTGGAACAATTTTGAGGGCCGAATGTGTCGCTTAACCAACGCAAAAAAAATCTACGAACGACCCTGGAGCAGACCGACAAGGGTTGAATTTTTCCTGAGCTGCTTTATACTCGGGCAGCTAGCATTTCATACCGGTATTTTCATCTTCACCAAAAACATCTCAAATTAACGGCTGTTACAACATTAACAATCATTTAAAATGATTTTACAAACGAATCTGGAAAACGTTATCCCTACTTCTCTCTTGCAGCGGCGAATCAGAAAACCGTACAACACTAAGATTCATGCACACACAACACAATCCCACTGTATGCAAAACGCAAACACGTGCTCGCGACTCGACTGCGCTGGGCGGAAGTTGCGCTATGAGCATGTGGCCTCCATTCCAGGCGCTCATTCATGCAGCAGGAATACAGTGTGGCTGAGAAGTGTAAAGTCGGCCTTACAATATGAGTGTACAAATGTACAACACAGTGTGCAGAAGGCTAGTCACTGACCACGTTTAGTTATTACATGTACATTGTAAAAGGGTTTTTGTTTTCGTGCTGAAGTCAAACTGCGACACGTATACATTGAACCAGACGGACATGTTACGTTTTTTTCACATCCCACCCAAAACATGAGATTAATAATCATGAACAATTTGTTGAAAAAAAATCATGGGTTTCGGACAAACTGTTCTAAACTTTCTTGGATCTTAAACTTAATTGGAGACATAAAAAAAAAAAACATCCAATTTTTCGGAGCAGGGGAACTGTAATTCCGTTTTGACTTCGGAGATATGGGAGCAGGGGACCATCGAAAGTCCTTGGAGTGGGAAAAAAAATGCCTGAATTTTTCAAGGGCCAAGACCTCATATGAATCGAAACGCGAACTTTGAAAGAAAATTCAAGATATATTTTTTTTGGAAAGAAGTGACTAATAAAACAGGAACAAATATCCTAGAGCCAAGGGGTAAATCGATGTCCGTCTCGTTAATGAAATAAATGTATTTAGTACATGTATAAGATTATGAAGTTTCAATATGGTGAAAAAATCAAAACAAACGATGCACATTTCAAATCCCGTCCCTATAATGGCCGAGGGTTTTGCCTACAGAAGACGCGTGCATCATCGACCATACAGCTTTATTAATCACCATCTGTACCCGGACCCGTTGGATATGCCCTGAACACTACATGCATATCGGCACGTACAGTATGTACATGTACCGTACGTACACCCACTGTGTGTGTGATGATGGACTGCATTGTACATGTACATCTAGTGTGTGCGACCACGTGGCGTCAGTGGGCAGACCACGCCGCTCCTTGTGGTTTTCGTCAAATCTGCGAAGAATCTGACACTCCAAGGTGATATATTAATAGCGTTATAACAGGGATCAGTTTACATGTTTAATATTGTTCCTGGGTCCTAAAATGGGAGCGCAGAATGGGAGCGCAGTCGGGGCAATGAAAGATAGCAAAATTAGAAAGTACCATGTGACTCGCTCTTGGCCAATCAAGACACAGAATCTGTGGGTGAGGTGTTAAAATTAATTATAGTTTGACCAACTCTGATGGAACGCACGCTAGTGGAAGATGGTTGGACTAGTCTTAAGTTCATGACTTTTGCCAGGCGCGCGGGGCGGCTGGCCATACAAACACGAGGTCATGAACTGAAGAATGCATATTCATAATCTTGCCCAAGTGCGCCCGCATAATGCATACATTACAACGCAGCCGCCATTTTTAAATAGCATGGGGGAACATTTTCGGGACGATATTCGTGGGAGATGATGATTGAAAGTCGTTTTTTTGGTCAGATGGATGAAGATTTTTGGATAAAAGAACGTTTTTCAAAAAGGTATGAGTTCCTTTACGACTAGGAACCTTAACTTTGGAAATTTCTGTCCTGGATGAGACGATAATCTCGATCAAAATCGGTAGCGAAATCGCTACATCAGAGTTCAGCGTTGAGGGGAGCACTGGGCGTCTGGCCGTACTACAGAGCTTGCGATAGTACTGTACAGCCAGATGCAGTCGGGCTAGTGACTCGACTACAACACTGGAACTTGGTCACAGAGTCCACTGTACCTACCAGGTAATTCTGAGTTGACCACCCCAGGGTAGACAGGCAAAGGCCCAAATGAGGTGATGACATGAAGCTTGTCCCTCAGCTCAGGATGGGCCTTCATCTGTAAGGCTAGGGTGTTGGAGTCGATGCCTGTATCGTCTGCTGTCTTATTAAGGATCATCTGGATGGACTTCAGATGGGAACCTGGGCAGGATTAAAAAAAATTACGAGATGTAAATTATATTTTTTTTTATATTGGATTTTTGTTTGCCCTTCGCCGACATATTTTGTAAACACTGCACACTTAGTGTTGTTCAAAGGCTTAGGTGGGACTCAAAATAAAGACCTCCTACACAAACAAAGTTGGGTTAAGCGCTGCTACATCAGACTCCAAACCGCCAGCTTGCCACAGCAAGCTCAGTGGTCGATGCATCTGCACTAGGAAGCAGAATATTGTGGGTTTGTGTCCAACCCGAGTAAGCTTGTGTTTTTTTCTTGCAAGCCCTCAGACAACAACAGAGTGTACAGTGTTTGTAAAATACTTCAGCAAAGGGCAACAAAAAAATTACATATACGAAAAAGAAGATGAATAGTTATATGGATGAAATCGAAAACCAATTGTACTAAATTTGATTCCTAGTGAATGGATGTCGTTATAGGCCCAAACAGATCCATGTAGGTCCTCAAACACTTTATATCTATCACTGAAATATAAACAATGCAATTATTGAAACATTTACATAGTATCAGGTGCGGGGGGGGGGGGGGGGGGGGAATGTCAGGCGAAGAAAAGGGGTTGGGGATTACATTCCCCTATCCCAATAAAAAATAAACAAGCACACTTTTCCCTTCCCAATTGTCACATTTGTGGAAGACAGTGTTCTCGTGAAGGTTTGCAGTTGCAGTAACACCATGTAGGCATGTAGAGTCTCTTTTGGGAAGATGTGTGTTTCTGAAAAGAACCAACCGGTTCTTTTCAGAGCTACACATCTTTCCAAAAGAGACTTCTACATTGTGGTACCACAAACCTTTACTAAATCATGCCACCACGTAGTTAGACCAAGTAGTTAGCCCTTGCAAATTGTCTTGCAAAGATGTTCCATCAACAAAACTGAGAATATGACAACATCAACGTGATTGTCAGGCAAGGCAGAGACTGATTTCAAATGACAACAATCCCAGAAACTGAAAAAAAAGACTCTTGTCAGATGACAACCAACATTCGCCCAGGAAAGAAAATAAAAGCAACAGATGAACAGAAATCCAATTGTGATTTGTGAATAAAAACTTCCAATTGACTTCATTCCTTATCAGATTGAATATCAAACAGAACGGAAGTACAGAATTGTTGTATGGGTAAATAAATCAACATCCAAGGGAAGAACACAATTCATTTTGGGAAAAAAGACAGCAAGGATTGATAGAAAAGAAAATCTCCTTTTTTTTGCTGTTGTCTACATCTACCTTTGTACATAGTAAAATTAGTGCTTTAAAGATGTTTTGAGTGAATGTTACTTTCCGTCATCAGTAGCAAGACCAAATTGAAACCAACTACCAACTACCTGCTCCTCCGTCCAATCACATCCATATACTGTCATTATCCCCAAAGACATTTTCAGGATGTATTCATCAAGTTTAATCCCATGTGACCGGTTGAACCAACTACAGGATGAGTCCAAAAGAAAGTGACCAAATTTGAAGAAAAACAAATTAAAAATATTTGGCTTGTTCTATGTTAAAAAAAAACACGGATAAAGTACATCTTATTGACTATTAACTGTGAAAATTTCACTTAAATTGCATACTCTATTCCCAATTCATGTCCATTTCTATAAAATGATCACAAAACTTGGCTGTCCACCACTTATCGATTACCGTGCTGCGAACTGATAATACATGTACCCATTGAGGACAATAAAACATCCATCGTTTTCCCACCTCCGTGATATATAAAAATACAAAAATCACCATCAATATTTCAAAGAAAAAGAGAGTTGACTTGTTTCTCATATTGAAAACACACAACCTGATAGTAAAAATTGTCTTGATTTCAATCATTACAATTTCATTTGTATTTGAATGCTTGTGTGTAATCTGAAATTCTCACTTAGCTCATTTAGCTTGCAATATTATCGCATTCCTTGGAAAGCAACACAAATGGGTTCTTTTTAGTAAAACATGCATAACTTTGGATGGCATGGATCAATGTTAGTGATTGGGTTTTTTCAGATGAGTGGAAGAACATGCTCTTTTAAGACATACTTCTTCGGTGTATCTAATTTGATTGCTTTTTAAGAAAAAAAATCTTGAATGCGGGTCACTTTCTTTTTAACTCACCCTGTGTAAACACAATGTGAACATGCATCTCTCACACACTAAACTTCATTGTCTTCATTTTTTATCATCCTCTTGTTTTCAGTCTTTTCTTCTTGTACGGTAGCCCTCACATTGAGTGGCATTTATGCCTTGTGAAGGGACGACTTGCATAAAATAACAATTACATGTACACAATATGCATGTTTAATCTGGAGCAAATATTTAAAAATGAAACAAATTTAATTCTCAGATTTCATGTCAGTGCAAGTAGTGAAACTGACTTACATGCATCTGCTTTGGTTACAGGAACTGATACCACAAGATAGTCACATGCATAAAAATCGGACAGAAATGTTGGGGGGAAAAGAAGAAAAAGAACAAGAAACTTTCTGTTTCAATTACACTTTGCTCAAGGTCTTACAATCCCTGTGAGTATAAATCTGGAGTGATCTTGAAATAGAGAAGAACATTCTTTGCTGCATCTGAATAAAATGTAGCTCACAGAGCTCAACGCTACATTGTGTTTGAACTATGGGTGATGGCTACCAAAACAGCTCCACTCCATCAACTGGGTGGAAAACTGAAGTTGAAAGGCATCATGAGAACTTTTACATGAGTCTAGAAAGAGCTAATCAAATAACATGGTTAAGTGGTGAAATCATTGCACCAATCGGCCTCTGCTTAAACATTGTCTTTCTCTTCACAGTCATTCGAGTGAAGTCCATGCGTACAATCATCAACATCTACTTATCCAATCTGGCTGTGGCTGACTCCCTTCACCTTATGACTTACTTCATATTCGCATCGTTTTTACCTATAGAGTACAACTTATTGGTCAAGAAGGCAATATTAAGTGTCCGATACACGTTCCTCGCTACTTCTAATTTCTTTGTGGTTATCATAGCAGCTGAGAGATTCTCTGCAGTACGCAATCCTCTGACATTCAAGGAAAAAGCCTCTAAATCTCGGGCAGCAAAGATATCAGCAGGACTCTGGGTGCCAATTATTGTTGGTGTGATTCTGATTTTCTTACCATTAACAGAAGCTGTCTTCACTAAAGTCAACTTTGTGATTTTTTCCATTATCAACATTGCCTCTTTGATAGCAACTCTTGCTTTGTACATCTATGTAGTATTGAAAGTACACAAGCAATCAGCCCTGTTTCCGAACAGTCCCAAGCGAGCAGGCAAGGTCCTCTGCATGGTTATCATCAACACTGCTGTTTTCTTCATTCTGAACTCACTGGACGTTGCAGCTGCAATTATGACAATTCATGTAGGTGTAGTGGCATCAAAGTATACTTCACCTGCTGAGATTGTTGCCAATCTGAAACTTGGAGAGACAATAATTATTCTGACTGCATGCATTGAAATTTTGCAACTGATCAATAGCTCAATCAATTCCCTGGTTTACAGTGCCACAAACGTTGACTATCGTGAAGCTGTAGTCAAGGCTTTCTCATTCCCGAAACTGTGCTGTCGTTGCTGCCCAAGACGGAATCCCAGCCGACCATCGCAGCCAGGGAAGCAGATTGAGCTTTGTGTGATTCCACAGGCAGAAAATGACCAAGAGCACCGTGCTGCCAGGCCAAGCAGCAGCAAGCCACCAAGCCAAAGGCATGCACAACACGCAGCAAGTCAGCAGTCACTGGACAGCTGTCAAGAACAATGTTCCAGGCCAAGCAGCAGCAAGGCATCCATGCACAGTCCGCAGCATGTTCAAGTGCATGTTGAGGTACATGCAGAACCAGCAGGGACCCCAGTGCTTGCAAGTTCTCATCAGGAACAATGCTCTAGTCTGACTGACTGCAAGCCATCCATGCAAGGGGAACAGTGTGTACATCCAGAACCAGCAGAGAGCCAGCAGTCACTTGCAAGTACTCAGGAACAATGTCCTGGGCTGACTGGCATCGAGCTATCAGCACAAGGGCAGCAGTATGCACATCCAGAACCAGAAGGGAGTCAATCTTTGGAAAGTTGTCAAGAACAATGTTCTCTGGTAACTGATGAGTGCAAGCCATGCATGTAAGTGGAGCACTGTGCAGTTGCTCTTGAACTTGCTGTGTAGTGTTCAAAGTGTAGAGTAGATCTATGGCTTTTTCATATATCATTTTCATTGGAGTGCCAAGTAGATTGGAAATTGAGAAATATTATCAGCATAATATGCTGGAGTTGTAATGTGTTTTACTTAGCGAATTGCCAATACTCGTACGCACCATGACATCAGTAATGTGCAGGCCCAGAGCAGATTGCAACCAACTATTAGTAAAGGGAACAGCTGGAACTCAATGTATGCATTCAAGTGGTGTTGAAATACTTACAAATGATCTTCTCGGCAAATGGATTACACTTTCCGTATCTGTTCCTTGTTACTTGATGAGGTTTTTGTGAATGAGCAAGTTTGCTACCTTTTATTTGTGAAAATGCACATCTACTGGCACTAACATATGGATAACCCTGACATTTTTCCACCTTAAGTACTTGTTTAAGTGGCTTTGAAACAGATTTGGAGGTTTTAATTTGAGGAAATGCACCTCTGTATTCCAAGTCTTTGGATGTCTCAGGCTTTTACATATTTTCATGATGGTGCCAAGGTGCATATTCATGAGAAATTACAGTGATGTCATGAGCTGGAACTTCAGTTTCACTGCTGTTGGAGGACAATATAGCTACCAATGTGTTTTGGTCGTGGTTAGCACATGGCAGGAATTCAATGTGATACTTTAATGTAGAAACTGCTATGTGTACTTGTACAATGCAGAGAAATTTAGGTTCATCAATTACACAGAAAATCCCAAAGCTGTAAAGTGAAAGTGTTTGGACATTGTAAAAAGTGCACTTGAAAAACAGAAAATAAATAAGTACATGTACATGTAGTTGTTACTTTGATAAAAACAGGAAGGCTTAAATATTTTAACCCTAACTCCCTAGGGGGTGTGCAAAATCATATTGAAATTGGAGGATTCAGGACTGTTCGGGCTAATATTTTAGTGAAATTCATTTCACGGCCCTTTAATTTCTTTATGCTATTAAAAGACCTTGAGAAATTCCAACCATGGTTGGCAATAGGAACTCTCGATATAGTGCAAACTGTATGATAATTAAGGCAGGGATCCAGGGGTGGTTCACGGGGGCACGTGCCCCCATCAAATTGAGTCCACACAAAAAAACAACAAAAAAGAATAAAAGGAAAAAAAAAAGGGGGAGAAGAGCGAAAAGGAGGGAAGGAGAAGGGCAACCTCCTTACAAATATACCGGCGCCGATATTAAACATCAGCCTGCCAACATTACGTACTGGCTGAATGACACAGCAAGCTCGTGTAGTGTTCAAAGTGTAGAGCAGATTTAAGGCTGTTTCATACATCTTCTTCATTGGAGTGCCAAGTAGATTTGACATCGAGAAACATTAACAGCACATTATGCTGGAGTTAAAATGTGTTTAACTTCAGTTTCTCATATTCAAAACACACAACCTGATAGTAAAAATTGTCTTGATTTCAATCATTAAAATTTCATTTGTACTTGAATACTTGTGTGTAATCTGTAATTCTCACTAAGCTCATCGCATTCCTTGGACAGCTACACAAATTGGTTCTTTTAAGTAAAACAAGCATAACTTCGGATGGCATGGATCATTGATAGTGATTGGGTTCAGTCAGTAGCCATGTCACGCACACAGCCCTGTTTGACCTCAGATTCTTGTCCCGAGGTCAAGCACGCATGGCCCAAAAGCGTATGCAAGATTTTACGAGATTTATTTGAGACTACAGAAAAACACAAAAAGTGCCTCAATACATGCACTGTTTGGCCAAGATGGCTTAATAAGTGAAAAAGTTGAAATCGTTAACTGCTTTTGACAAATATAAAGTGTTGTTATGCCCTGTCAAACAAAATCATATTTTTTAATCAACAAAATTGAGGGCCAATAGTTTTTAGTTTTTAAAAATGGCCGAAACAAATGGCAAGGCTTAGTAGATAGAGAAAAGTATATGCTTCATTTTCATGTGAAACACGTGCAGGAGACTTAAAATGTTTGGTCCAAATTGCCGGTTGAAAAATGAAGACTTTTGCGAGATTTTATGATTTGCAATCACAATGTACGCGTGTAAACGTATGCCGACGTACGTTGGCCTGAAAACGTTGTGAATAGCACGCTTTTCGTGCAATGAATGACTTATGAATATTCAGCAGGCCATACTCGAGCGCGAGCTCGACCAATCAGTGGGCGTATGGGTCACAAGGTCAAACCGTGTTTGGGTTCCTCGCTCTACGCTTTACAATGGCGGCAATCTTTTCACGTTGTGAAAAATGGAAGTTGTTGGAAACATTAGGTGTACATCGAATTCTGAAAATATTAACGACATCACGTTCATGAGATTTTTTGTAGATGAAGGTTCACTCTTTCATTTGATTACCTCAACATTTGGGAGACTTTC